GATATTCTTATAGTCACTGTTTCAGTCTCTCTTGTTGAGGAGCTTCCTCTTTTTTGCTGAACCTCTACTTTACCAGTATCATAGCATCGTGCAAGCCACCACAGTACAACAAAATGAAAAAATGAGTAGGAGCCCCATGGAAGCATAGTATTCAAGAAATCAAATGATATGTTGCTTTGGGAAAATCTGCTGCAACACACCTATTTAAAGTGATAAAAAATAAAGATGTCATCAAAGGTTCATGAGGGAGGGGGAAATGAGGACCTGATATCAAGCGCTCAAGTAGAAAGCAAATGTTTTGAGAATGATGATGACAACAAATGTACAAATGTGCTTGACACAATGGATGGATGTGTGGATTTTTATGTGGATGATAAGAATTGTACGAGCCCCCAATAAAATGGTTAAATGATTTAAAAATTTTACAAAGATGTCACTTTAAGGACTAAGGTGTGCTTGAGCAAAGCCTGGGTATTTTCAGTCATCTCATATGAACTTGAAAGATGGACAATGAATAAGGGAAAACAATGAAGAATTGGCACATTGAAATTTTGCTGTTGCTGAAGAATACGAAATCAACGATGGACTGCCAGAAGAATGCAGGAATATTTCTTAGAGGAACTACATCCGGAATCAGCTGAAGAAACAAGGACTAAAGGCTTCATGTCACTTACCTTAGACTTGTTATCAGCAGGGACCAATCTGTAGAGAAAAAGACATCATGCATGGCAAAGTTTAGGATCAGCATAAAAAGACACAACATCAAAACCATGAGTATAATGACAGCATGGGAACTTGCCCATGTTTCTTTTTGTTTCTTTGTTCGCTATACTTAATAAGGTTTCACTATCTGTTAGGTCTGACTTAGTGGGACCTAACAGCAACATCTCTGCTTTCTTTTGATTTGATTTTGTTCGCTATTCAATGTTTCTAGTGTCTCTATGTTTCCTCCTGGCCCATTTAAAACAAAACAAAGCAAACAAACAAAATGTGGGGCTTTTGGTTTAAAATGAAATTACAGGAGTTGTTAAAAGGAATCTGTGGGATCCAGCCCCAGTCAAACAGAGTCCCGAGGAGGCAATGGCGCAATTACAGGGGAAAACGGAGATAGAAAAGTGGGGTACAGTGGACCAATCTCCAATATCCCAAAAAGAGTGCCGAGTTTATTCAACAATAAGGTTTTATAGTAATGGGACTTGCAAGCTTCTTGTTATTACATGCAATAAAATGGGCAAAGTGTTAATCTTGAATATCCTCAGCCCTCTAGGGGAACACGTCAAAGGACGTGTCTGGCAAACAAGAAACAAATGGTGTCAAAGGCTCTTTAAGAATAAAAGACAAAGGCACCAGATATTCTCAGAGACAGGTATCCTTTAACTGGCACCGGAGGAGCCAGGCATCTCTAGGAGACAGCTTATCATTTTATGGAGGGCAGATGTGAAGAAACATCTTTTCTGGAGAATCTGTGCATTTGGCTCTATCTGTTTCCTTGGGACTGTGGAGGCATTCCTTGAAACACTTGTGCTGCTTTTATGCCCTGTGGTCATTCATGAGTGTAGAGAGTAGGCCGATTACACTTTGTTCCAGGTTCTCAGTTTCCCACAGCAACCATAGAAGGAACATCCATATTTGAAAGAATGACCTCTTGGTCTATAGTCAAATACTTTACCATTTAGATGTACATCATTTAGATGTACGTATGTAGCTACTCTGGTTTGTGTTTTAGATATATCTTTTGTAGGAACCCTATAAAACTCACTGACATTATATCAATTCCAGCTCATAGTGGCCCTGTAAAGGGTTTCTAAGGCTATAAATCTTTATAGGAGCAGATAGCCTCATCTTTTTCCTGTGGAGTAGCTGGTGGGTTTGAACCAGTGACTTTGGGGTTAATAATCCAATACTTACCAGATAGTACCACTATAGCTGGATTTCAACCTAATTTTAGAGTTTATGTCTTTTATTAGAGGAAGTTAATCCATTTATGTTTGCAGTTATACGTGTATCAGGGTTTCCGCCTATTTAATGATTTGTGTTTTGTTATGCTGTCCTGTTTCCTTTCTTTACATTTACTAAATTGATGATGTTTTCATGGTTCATTATTTTCACATAAAACGGAAATGCTGCCACATATTTGAATTCTACTAGAAGGTATGTGGTTGTTGATTCGTTTAAACCAACCAGCTACTTCACAGGTAAAAAGTGAGGTGGCCTACTCTGGTAGATTTGTAGCCTTAGAAGCCCTAGACAGTGTTGCTGTGAGTCAGAATCCACTGGATATCAGTGGGTTTTTATGCAGCTCCATAGTTATGTACTCAGCTGCTGACAGGTATGTATGCACTTTGAATTTACCAGCTGCCTCGCAGGAGAAAAGGCATGCCTACCTGCTTGTGTAATGATTTCTGTCTCAGAAACCCCATACGTAGTTCTACCCTGTACTGTCAGATTCTTATGAGTCAGAATTGACTGGACATAACACAGCAAATAACTACACTTGCATTCCCTAACAATAGCTGTCAATAGTTTTTAACAAATATTTTTTTCATTTTAATATGTCAATTACATAAGTTAGGGGGAAATGATGAACTAGAAAGATAATACACACTATGCCCACTGTTTATACGTCTCTAAAGTAACAGATATTAGAACCTAACATATGTAGATTTCTACTCATGTGGATTTGCTCTAGCTCTGGTGTCTTCAGTTGGCCCACCTCTGCTAGTTTTCTCCCTTTTGCATATAGGTGCTTTCTGTCCTAGACCTTTTCCAATATTGCATTTCCATTGCCTATTCATTACTTGATGGACAAAGCTACTTCGTCTAGGTAGACTAGAAAAACAAATTCATAGACACTCATGTACATAAGAGAGAGTTTTATATAACAGAGCGATTACCGTATATACTCAAGTATAAGCCAACCCAAATATCAGCCGAGGCACTTAATTTTACCACAGAAACTACATTAAGAATGTGCTGAAAAACTCAGCTTATACACGAGTATATAAGGTATATATTGAGAAAACATCCCAGCCCAGTCCATATCAAATCCGTAAGTGTGATATTACCCCATATGTCAATACTAGTCCATAAATTCCTCTTTAGACTCACACAGCCAGGCAATGACACTGAATGTAGGAAGATTGCAGCCCAGTGGGTGGAAAGTCTTGTGGACTCAACAGAGGTAGAAGCATCTAAGCACTGGCATGGGTCTCCATGTGGCTCCTCCAGCAACGAGGCTATGGCTGCCATCAGCTTGTCTCCATGTGGCTTATCAACAAGAATGTCTTCCAGGGAGTGTGTGTGTCCCACCTCCAGCGAGCTATTTATCTCCCTAGCACCTCCAAATGAGGTCATCAAGCTGCGACCTAATTGACAGGCTAAACTGCACCCCTTCACTCTTAAGTCTCAAATTGACAACAGAGTATGTAACTACCACAGCTTCCATAAAGATTCATGGCCTCAGACAGCCTGTTTAGGTTTTCTATGAATCAGAATCAACTCTATGGCAGTGGGCTTATTCATTACTTAAGGAGCCCTAGAGGTACCATGAGATAAAGGTTGGACTGCTAACCAAAGTCAGCAGTTCAAACCCACAAGCAACTCAGTAGGAGAAAAAGTCTATCTGCTCCTGGAAAGGTTTCCAGCCTTTGAACCCCTGTATAGGATTAATGTAAGTCAGGATCAACTCGATAGCAGTAGGTTTGGTTTATTCCTTACTTATTTCCAGACTCTGATATCTCAAAAAGTTTTAAGTAAGTAATTTATTCTAGCTGTTTCTTATTCCTTCATTCACTCACTGTCACCAAGTGGATTCTGAATCATAGTGACCCTGTGGGGCACAGGAGAACTGCCTTGTAGGTTTCTAAAACCATCAATCTTAGTGGAAGCAAAAAGCCTTATCTTGCTCACATGAATAATGCACAACTCACTACCCACTACTTCCCCATCCAAAGCTCCTTTTCTTGATTCTGCCAGATACTATAAGCTGATTTCTGCCTACGCCACTCTGTTGAAATTACCTCATTTTTTAAAAGTCTACAATTGGTTTTAAATGATCATCCTGTTTGATCTGCTCCAGCTTCAGCTATTGTTGACTACTGCCTCCTCTGGGAACTCTCCCTGACCTCTCCTTCAATCTGAATCTCCTGATACCGCTTCTCGTGGCTTTCTGCAATCCCCTTGCTTGCTGCGGGTTGCTAGGGTTCTTTTCTTTGCCTTCTGTTCTTCTCACAACATGGGGATTTGGATAAACTTGGATTCCAATCCCAGCTCTGTTACTTTGGATAAATTACTTCACATATTTTGTCCTTGGATTCCTCATTTATAAAATGATGTTTTCATCAATCTAGCAGGTAGTTATATGCATTAAATGAAGTAAAGCGTGTGTGTTCCCAATTAGTATAAAACACACTATCAATGTGAGTGATTTATGGAGACTACCACACAGTTATGCCTCCTTTCACTGAGCAGATATGGAATGCCTCCTGTGTTTAGTCCCTATGCTGACAGGGAACAAGGTTTATGGGCTCAGGGATTTGAAATACTGTCTTCAAGTTAAGCTGGGTTTTTTCATTGGTTTTCTCTTACACCAATCACATTCTGGATTTATCCTGTTGGGCTTGTTTTCCCCCATTTTCTGAGATGTTCTCCTCCAAAGAAAATGTAGAACATTGTTTTGCACCCTTCCCTATTTACTCTACCTATCCCTGTTCCTTCTCAAGGCAGTTTTTATATTGTATCTGTCTCTGATTATTAAATGCTACTGTTGATATTCACAGTGGATGTCAGGTGTCTGGTGGAGTGTGATATTCATTACATTTTTTCCTCACATATATCTCTAAGTATCATTCGGATAAGTCCTTCTGTATTCTCTTTTCTCCTAGTGCTGCTCATTTCTTCACCCACATGGGTTTTGTTAGCACAACACCTTGTTAAGAAGGAGTCCAAAGTTTCAGAAGTCTGACTTTTAAGGATGTGTCTGTGGACTTCCCTTGGGAGGAGTGGATTCATCTAGATTCTGCTCAGAGGGACGTCTACTGGAAAATTATGCTGGAAAACTACAGACACCTGGTCTCACTAGGTAATGACTTTCTATATCTCTAAACCTGTTTTCACAGTGTTCCCCTACCCCTCAAAGCTAGTGGCTCACCCTCTGAGATTCATGAATTTAGACTTGTAATCCTTTATTTTGTAGGACATTCTCTTAGGTTTTTGTTTTGTTTTTGCATTATCAGAATTTATTTCTGTACATTACAAATGCATTCCAGTTTAATATTGCTTTTTTAAAAAATCATTTTATTGGGGGCTCATACAACTCTTATCACAATCCATACATACATCCATTGTGTAAAGCACATTTGTACATTTGTTTCCATTATCATTTTCAAAACATTTGCTTTCTACTTGAACCCTTGGTATCAGTTCCTCATTTTTTACCCTCCCTCCCTCATGAACCCTTGATAATTTATAAATTATTATTTTTCCATGTCTTGCACTGTCCAATGTGTCCCTTTACCCCCTTATCTGTTGTCCATCCCCCTGGGAGGGGGTTATAAGTAGGTCATTGTGATTGATTCCCTCTTTTTTCCCCCCACCTTTCCCTTACCCTCCTGGTATGGCTACTCTCAATATTGGTCCTGAGGAGTTTATCTGTCCTATACTCCCTGTGTTTCCAGCTCTTCTCTGTACCCATGTACATGCTCTGATCTAGCCAGATTTGTAAAGTAGAATTAGGGTCATGATCGTGGGGGTGAAAAACCATTAAAGAACCAGAGGAAAGGTGTATGTTTCATTGGTGCTATACTGAACCGACTGGCCCATCTTCTCCCACGACCCTTCTGTAAGGGGATACACAATTGCCTACAGATCGGCTTTGGGCCTCAACTCTGCACTCCCCCCACCCCCATTCACATTGACATGATTTTTTTTGTTCTGGGTCTTTGATGCCTGGTACCTGATCCCATCGACACCTCATGATCACACAGGGTGGTATGCTTCTTCCTTGTGAACTTTGTTGCTTCTCAGCTAGATGGTCGCTTGTTTATCTTCAAGCCTTTAAGATAGCCAGGCACCATCAGCTTTCTTCATCACATTTGCTTATGTACCCATTTGTCTTCAGCAATTGTGTCAGTAAGGTGAGCATCTTAGAATGCCGGATTATTAGAACAAAGTGTTCTTGTGTTGAGGGAGTACTTAAGTAGAGGCCCAATGTTCTCTTAGGGTATTTTTTGTTTTCTTAATTTAGTGTCCCCTCTTTCCAAAATAAAAGGCCTTACTACATTGAATTGAAATTGAGAAAGATTAGAAGTCACACTTTCCAATTTTCAGAAGCCTTGAAAGGAAAAAATAAGAACAAATGCTGGAATTGGGTTTTATACTCAATTCAGAACCGAAATTAATGTCTTTCCTCCATGGCAAGACATCAGTTGTCCGGCTAGAATGGGAAGAACTGAGCCTGTGGGGAAAAGAACCGTCACGGTGCATCTCTTCAGGTAGCTATCAGGGTGCAAGGACTTGTTAGATGTGTGTGTCATGTTGGGAAGAAATCCCTTCAGTGATCTCTGGCACTCTAGAGAGAATATGACTGTTTGATGTGTCTTCTCTCAAAATGTTACTGATACAAAGTATTTTTTTCAAGTTTGTGGGAAAATTCCACTATCTTTTAATTCCATTTTCCACAAACTTGGCATTCCCTTTATTTCTCATTTCCCCTTGTTCTGAGTCCCCAATGTCCTTACATGATGCAGATTAGATAAGTTTCCACATACATTGCCTGCAACTGAATGAACTGCATTCAGTTAATGTTGATTATCACTTCCTTTTCTGCTTCCATCTGTACCTGAATTCACTGGCTCTAGCTCTTCTGGCCCTTACTCTTTCTAAAGCATTTCTTTTCCTCAGTCTTAACCTGTATCAAGAGATCCCTTCCTCTTATCATTTAAACATTTGTAACATTTTTTTTCTCATTTAAAGGGAATTAACATTTTTCTCTCTTTACCTTGTAGAGGTGTTTTACATAGGTCTTCATTTTAAAACAAATGAGAAGTGACTTTGGCTTAGCCTTTTCTTCCAGCAAACTTATATTTTAGACATTTCCTTTCTCAATCCCTAATTTTTTACTGTATCTACGACCCATTCAGTTCTATACTTCGCCAAACATTTAATTCTTCTTAATCTTTGTTATCTTATCTAGTTTTTAAACCTTGGTCATAGCTGAGATTACTCTTTTGGATATTGGCACTAACTGTTCTCTGAACAAGTGCATCTTACACATCTATCTTCTTTACTTTTAGATGTTCTCTCCAACTTTTATCTGAATAAATGCATCTTGCATCTTTATCTTCTTTATTTTACTATACTTTATGAGAGAGCATTCCACTCACTGCCAGTGGCTCAAGGCCCACGCATAGCGACCCATTAAGACAATGTACAAAAACTGCCCTGTGGGTTGCTGAGACAACAACTCTTTAGCAAAAAAGCCTCATCTTTCTCCCTCAGAGCAGCTGGTAGTTTCAAACTGCTAACCTTGTGGTTAGCAGTCCAACTCAAAACCACTACACCATCAGGACTCCATGAGAGAGAATTAAGCTTTACTTTTCTATTGCATTTTTAATTTAAAAGATAGGCAAATACTTATTTAATATCTGGATGGATTGTGCTAACTAATATAAAGCAGTAAAATTATATTGAAAATTAATAGGAAAAAACAACTACAAACTATAACCATCACTGCTGGTTTTCAGTCCGATATCTAAAGCACAAGATTCAAGGAGCAGAATCAAGAAGTCAAAGAAAAATGCATTTTTATTACTCTTGCTACAGACTGTATAACTTTGAAGGCTATTTTATAATTTAAGTGCTAACTTATTAGACATTCAATGTTCCTTTAAGGGAGCTGTAATTGTTTTGGTGTGTGTTAGTCTGGGTAGCCTAAAGAAACAAACCCAGGCACACTCATATGTGTGTAACAAAGAATTGTATATTAAGAAAACATCCCAGCTCAGTCCAGATCAAGTCCATAAGTCTGATGTTAGCCTATATCTCCGATACTAGTCTGTAAATTCTTCAGACTCACGCAACACATGCAATGATGCCAAATGCAGGAAGATCACAGCCCAGTGGGTGGAAAGACTTATGGACTCAGTGGTAGTGGAAGCATCTCAGTGCTGGCATGGGTCTCCACGTGGCTCCTCCAACTCCAGGGCTCTGGCTCCATCAGCATAGCTCCATGTGTCTTGTCAGCAGGAAGCCAAAGCAGAGAGTGAAAGAGTGTGTCTGGCCTCCAGTGAGCTATTTATTTCCATCATGCCTCCAAATGAGGTCATCAAGTTGCAACCTGATTGGCAGGTTAAACTCCACCCCTTCACTCTTAATAGTCTCAAGTTGACACCAAATTATGTAACTACCACAGGGTGACATATTTTTCAGGAGTTGATTACCATTTGTTTCTATGTAAATGACTTATATATTCAACAGATACTTAGTGTGTACTAGGCACTGTTCCAAGGCCAACCCTTGTGGCACTGTTGGGTAAACATTGGACTGTCAACCACAAATTTGGCAATCCAAACCTATCAGCCACTCCTCAGGAGAAAGATGAGGCTACCTGCTCCTGTAAAGACTTACAACCTCAGAAACCCTGTGTAGGGTCACTATGTGAGTGTAAATTGACTCAATGGCAGTGAATTGGGGTTAGGTCCTATTCCTTTCAACTCTCACTGCCATTGAGTCAATTCTGACTCACAGCGACCCTACAGGACAGGGTAGAGCTGCCCCTGTGGATTTCTAGAACTGTAACTCTTCACAAGAGTGGAAAACTTCATCTTTCTCCTTTAAAGCAGCTAGTGGTTTTGAACTGCTGATTGAAATCAGCAGCCTAATGTATAACCATGACATATCAGAACTCCTTCTAGCCCTATTCCTAGCACTAGAAATATAGCAATAAAGAAAACAAGCAAAGTTTCTTCACAGAGGCTTAATTCTAATGGGGAAATGAAAGACACAGAGAGAGAGGGGGTTGGGAACAGCTGTTATGAATTGAATTGTGTCCCCCCAAAATTCATGTTTTATATCCCATCCTTACACCTTTGATTATCACCCCATCCTGTGACAAACGCCTCCCATTTGCATAGTTCTACTCAGTCATTTGGTGGTAAATACAAAGGCAATAGCTACAAAAGCCATATAGATAATTCATAGCAGCAAAATCATGAAGATTGGATTTGAACTAGCTAGTTTGGCTCCAGAGATGATCTTTTAACTACTATGTTTTGTTGTTTCTCTAAATGATCTTCCAAAAGTTCATAGAAAAATCGTAATGAACGATTTTCCCATAAACTTTCAAGAACATTTCAAGACCATTGTGATTTATGGGATTTTCACTAGCTGATTTTTGGAAGCAGATCACAAGTCCTTCCTCCTAGTCTTATTCTAGAACTTCCTGTAAAGCTGTTCCACATAGTAGCAAATCTCAAGCTTTAACTGGCAGACAAGTGTTGGTTTGGGGAGCATTAGCTGGAATTAAACCTAAGTGTTCTGCATGGAAGACATTAATTCCATCACTAAACCACCACTGCCCTCTCCAGAATATTGCTGCGTGGCATGAAGTAAACTGACTCACTGGAACCCTGTTGGACAAAGTAGAACTTCCTTATGGGGTGCACTAGATTGTAAATCTTTGTGAGAGCAGATTACCAGATATCTCCTCCTGCACAGCTGTTAATGTGGTCAATCTGCCAACTTTTCAGTTAGCAGTTGAGCTCTTTAACCATTGCACTACCAAGGCTCCCTGAACAGTAGACCTAATATGATTCTAGTTGTGAATGTTTAAAAGGTACTTATAAACTATGTTTTTGTATGAGTCAGTGAGATTTTATAGGAGTATGTGAGATTGTATGAGATAATCTTGTGTGATTTATGAGATTTTGTAAGATTTATGAAATTGTGTGAGATAATCTTGTGCACAGAAAATTTGCAGAATGATATAAACTGTTAAAAGTATTTACCTTTGGGCACTGGAAAGTGAAGTAGCTCCTCAGTTTTTCACTTTATAATACTTTATGTTGACTGAAGTTTTTATCATATACTAAATTTATTTTTATAACAATATACTTATTTTTAAGTTCATTAAAAATTATTCTCTTCCAAAAAAGTAATGAAATTAAGATATGCCATAGCTAAATGAAATATTGAGCTATTTATATTTATATTTGGACAAGTTATAATATTATCTATTATTTAAGTACAAAAGAAACATGAGTTTGATTTTATTTCTACCACTGTTAGTTGGATAGCCTTGAAATATTCAGTTTACTAAGCTTTAGTTGCCTCATGTTTAAAGAAGAGTTAATACTATCAACCTCATAAGATTGTCATTATTAAATAAGGTCTTATATGTGACGGGGGCAACATGGTTAAGTGTTTGGCCACCAACCAAAAAAGTTAACAATTTGAATCCATCAACCACATCCTTAGATGAAAGAGATAGCAGTCTGTTTCTGTAAAGATTACAGCCTTGGAAACTCTATGGATAATTCTACTTTGCCCTGTAGGTTCATCGTGAGTCAAAATCTCAACAAAAATGAGTTTGGTTATTTTATTTCATTTTGTATGTTATATATTATGTTTCAGATATTCACAGACGGATGAAGTTAATTATCTGGAATTAATAACATTTTTTTAAATTATACAACTTGAGCTGACCCTGAAAAATGTCCTATTCACAAAGCACACTGTGTGTATATTTGGGAGACTGAACTAATTATAACAGGTCTATTTGTTGGTGAATAATATTAATAGAAAGTAATATTTCCTAAAACTAGGCTTATGGTAATATGAGAATATTTGCAAATTTTTATTATGAGATGTTTGTAAATATAAGATATAATATTAATAACTGTAAAAGTATTTAATTCCATAGATAAGGATCGTAAGATAATTGACAATTAAAAAGAAAATATAGAATTACAAACTGCAAAGTTAAAGAAATCAGAGCTAGTCTACAAAGCCTGAAAACGCAAACATGGAACAACCTATGCAGAGCTGCTCAAACATGGAGCAACCAGTAGTTCAGGCTATACAGAGTGCTGGTGGCATAGTGGGCTATGCAGTGGGCTACTTAATGCAGTCAGTACTTTGGACACACTAGCTGCTCTGAGAAAAGACAGAGATTTTCCACTCCTGTAAAGATTTCCATTTCTATAAAGATACAGCCCTGGAAAGCCACAGGATAGTGCTGTCGCCTATAGGGTCACTCTGAATCAGAATCAACTCAAGGGCATTGAGTTTAGTATTTGTTTTTTGGAAATCAGGCTACAGATCTTAGTGGGAAGCTTGTAGGAGGATTTGAAAAGAAGGCTGATCCTTGTATAAAAGATCTATCATGGACTGAATTGTGCCCCTGCCAAGGGTGTGTCAATTTGACTAGGCCACAATTCTCAGTGATTTGGTAGTTATGTAATGATATTATTTGGAAGTTATATAATAAGTTGGTAATTTTATTATGATGTGATCATTTTCTACCTTTTTAAATCATATATAATTATCTTCAATTTTATGTATGATAAAAATCTTATGAGGCATCTAACTTAATCTACCATACTTAAGTCACCACCCATCATTGTCTGACTGAAGTCTCACCCTTGCTTGAGTCATACTTTTTTTTTATTTTACAAGAGATAAAAGGGTAAGAAAAGTGAGCAGAGAGAGAGGGACCTCATTACAACCAAGAAAGAAGATCCAGGAGCAGAACGTATCTTTTGAACCAAGGATCGGTGTACTGAGAGCTTCATAAATCCAGGGGACGATTGATGCCAAGACACATGGAGATCTGCAAGTAGAAAGCAGAAGCTGAATATACAAGGGTCTTTTTTCAGAGCCAACAGAGAGGAAGCCTTCCCCTAGGGAATCTGAATGTGGATTCTAGCCTCTTAAGTTTTGAGAAAATAAATTTTTGTTTGTTAAGCCATCTTCTTGTGGTATTTCTGTGATAACACCAGATTTCTAATGACTGGTTGAGCCTGAGCCCATAAATGCCATAATTATAAAGCTAACATTTATTGAGTATTTATTATATAAACTATATGAGGCAAAGTCTTTAGCTGTATTTATGATGCACAGCAACCATTACTTCCCTGGTTCATATAAATAGATTCAAAGATATTAGTTACCTTGCTCAAAGTAGATTGCAAATGTCAGAATCTGTATAAAAACGCAGGTTGATTCCCCAAACTGAATTGCTTCTCTTTATATTGCACTGCCTGTCACAGGCTCTGTCCCAGAATAACTGCAACTAAACACACTTGAGCTGCCGCACTGCACGTGATGGAATTGAGCTGCTGCACTGCACATGATGGAGTTAAGAAAGACATTCAGTAATACAGACATGATCGTTAGCACTTTTAAAAGTACAAAATATGTTCTTATACTAGATGGTCCAAGCAAGTATGTTCTGAAAGAGTAATCTACTTACATTAATTCAATCTTCACCCTCGTCTATGTGAGAGTTTGAGCCCACAGAAACAATTAATGAGTTCAGGTGGTCTTAAAGCCGAAATTTGAACTCAAGTCTGCCTCCCTCTAGGTGCATTTCTTTCAATGTGCTTCATTGTAATGTTTTAGGAAGGTTAATTTGATGTCAAAATTATAGAAGGCTTGTGGGGAAATACACTGCTAGTAGGAACACCAGGTATGTGGCAAGCTATCTGATCACAGATCTGTATATTTTCCATCTTCATTATTTCTTTTACCCTATAGTTGATGATTTCACTGTCCATTTTTTTCCTAAGTGGGCTCTCTCCTTTCGGTATTTACATGCTGGACCTGCTACTCATTTTAGTTCCACTATTAGATAACAGGTGGACTCACTATTCTATCTCTCCCTTCTTACTGTTCTTCCTTGATATCCTATCATTATTGTTTCAATTTCTCATTCTCATCTTACAGTTTTCAGTTTCCCAAACACAGAAACCAGTGTGCATTGAATTATTATTTGTAATTTTTTTTCAGACTGGGAGTCAAGATTTGAAATCAGAGTCAACTTCAAAGTCCAACATTGCTGAAGATATTTTTTCCTTATGGAACAATAATGGAAAGAGAGAGTCTCTGGCATCCTACTTTAAGGGAAACCTGGAAAGCTGACAGTTGGTTTGAAAGGCAACTGGAAAGCCAAGATAGACATCTGGACCAAGAGGCAATTATTCATAAGGAAATCCTCACTGAGGGGAAGGTCTGTGTAGATAATCAATTTGAAAGATTCCCCAGTCAAGATCCAGTCCTTGATATACAAGAGAGCATTCCTAAGAGTAAGAGGCCCTACAATTGGTATTCAAATGGAAAAGCTGCCAAACAAAACTCTGAATTAATTAAAACTCAAAGAATGTTTATAGTAAAGAAACTCTTTGAGTGTAACCAATGTGGCAAGGCTTTCAGTCAGAGTTCTTCCCTTCTTAAGCACCAGAGGATTCATACTGGTGAGAAACCATATAAGTGTAATGTGTGTGGCAAGCACTTCATTGAACGTTCCTCCCTCACTGTACATCAAAGAATTCATACTGGGGAGAAACCCTACAAGTGTAATGAATGTGGAAAAGCCTTCAGTCAGAGCATGAACCTTACTGTTCATCAAAGAACCCACACTGGAGAGAAACCCTATCAGTGTAAAGCATGTGGAAAAGCCTTTCGTAAGAATTCATCTCTGATTCAGCATGAAAGGATTCATACTGGAGAGAAGCCGTACAAATGTAATGAATGTGGGAAAGCTTTCACTCAAAGCATGAATCTTACAGTGCATCAGAGAACTCATACAGGAGAAAAGCCCTATGAATGTAATGCATGTGGAAAAGCCTTCAGTCAAAGCATGCATCTTATTGTACATCAGAGAAGTCATACAGGAGAGAAACCCTATGAGTGTAGTGTATGTGGAAAAGCCTTCAGTAAGAGCTCAACTCTAACCTTACACCAGCGAAATCACACTGGAGAGAAGCCCTACAAATGTAACAAATGTGGGAAATCCTTTAGCCAAAGTACATACCTTATAGAACATCAGCGACTTCATTCTGGAGTAAAACCATTTGAATGTAATCAGTGTGGAAAAGCTTTCAGTAAGAATTCATCTCTTACTCAACATCGGAGAATTCACACTGGAGAGAAACCATTTGAGTGTGTAGTATGTGGGAAGCATTTCACTGGCAGATCATCCTTAACTGTACATCAGGTTATTCATACTGGAGAGAAGCCTTATGAATGCAATGTATGTGGAAAAGCCTTCAGTCAAAGTGCATATCTTATTGAACATCAAAGAATCCATACTGGTGAGAAACCCTATGAATGTGATCAGTGTGGAAAAGCCTTCATTAAAAATTCATCCCTTATAGTCCATCAAAGAACTCATACCGGAGAGAAACCCTATCACTGTAATGAATGTGGGAAAGCTTTTAGTCGGAGTACAAACCTTACACGACACCAAAGAACTCATATGTGAGAGAGAAAAAATGTGCTGTTAGAGTGAGTTTAGGAAAGTCCTTTACGATGATGAACTGGTCAGTGTTAATCAGATAAGTTGTACAATATAGAGGACAGATAAATCTAATGATTGTGGAAATTGTAATTGATGTATGATCTCAGACAATACAGAAAGAAACCATATAAAAGATATCATACATAAGATATATCATGTTAAGGAATTTGTGGTGCTGAATTGAGTATGTTGAAAGTAATCAGCAAAGGCTTGAGAGGTAAAAACATCCCCCCCAAAAAACCCACTGTCATCAAATCAATTCTGACCCACAGTTACAGTACAGGACAGAGTAAAACTGCTGCCTAGTTTGAAAGGAGCTAAACCTTTACCAGAGTAGACCACCTTGTTTTTCTGCCAAGGGTCAGCTCATGGGTTTAACCTACATACAACTCAATGTGCCTCCAGGAAAACGGTGGGGGTGGGGTGGGGGGTCAAAAAAAAGGAAAAGAAATTCAAGAGAAGGTAATTTACCATAAGGAAACTAATTTTACTTAACATAAGAATGGGAATGGGGAACATTGCCAATTGCTATGGAGTAAACTAAAGATAGGAATATCCATTAATTTTGTTTATTGCTAACTTCTAAACTTGAATGGCTTGAAGACTGAATTAAAGATTAAATTAAAGATTAAATTTAGTAACTTTGAGAAAGGAGAGATTTAGAAAGATAGCCACGTGGGAGTTAGAGTGTATAAAAGAAGAACTTTTGGCTGCAAATAATAGACCATCCAGTTAACAGTAGCTTATGCAAATAGAGGTTTTTGGTTTTTCTGTTTTTCCTTTGTCATAAGTCTGGGGTTTTTAAGCATTGACTCAGAGATATTGTCAATATCTCAAATACTGTGGCTTTGCCATCATGGTTATGTGATGGCTGCATAGCTCCAAGTTAAAATACTTACATTTGAGATAGCACTGGCAATATCAGGGTTTTTTATTAGAAAACAAATTTCTCAAATTCCTTGGCAGACGTGCTTATGTTTCATTGGCCTTAACTATTTTACATGGACATCCTTAGAAGCAAAAGAAGCTGACAAAATAAATACTTAGCTCTCCCAACCTCTATAGAAAAGATAGGTTAAAGGGGAGGTGGGGGGCGTGTTAGGAATAGTTTGGATTTAGCCAAGAAATAGTTTGCCAGAGAAGGAGTTTTATGATACAAAACTGAACATTTTTATAATAAAAAGATAAATGTAAGTATCTGAAAACTTAGGAAATAAATGGCTCAATGGAGAATAGAAATCAGAGCATAGGTAGACACTATAGGAATCAAGAAATGGGTACAGAAGAAACCTTTGTGGGAAACAATGAAGGAAGTTCTTAATAGACTCAGTATTTGAGCAGTTCCCTCTTTCTAGGTGATGTGATCTCTAAGGATCATTAATAGTTTACAAATTCTTATTAATTTCATCCATCTTAGCCTTCAACCCTTTATTCCTCCCTCTACCACTTTGTCGTTTACTTTCCTTTGGACCTTTACTTTGCTGTTTGTTAGTAATTTTCATGTTTTCTATCCCTTTCTTTGACGCCTTACCTTTTCTATTTTTCTTAAGATCAAGTGGGGAATACAAAAGCAAAATATGATGAGGAAGAAGTTGGCCACAAAGTTTCTTAGATTACAGTCAGTTCAATATTTCATTCCCTTCTGCCCTGCCCATTCTTCCTCCAACAGTTTATACTGAGCATAATCAGGTTGGCCAAACCCTTTATACTTAGTTGTCAGGGTATAGAAATGTGAAGAGAGTTCAATCTTAGTGATTTACCCCATTCTCATACTTGGAATGGAAGAAAAGATTGTCCATTTGAGGAACAACTGGAGAGTGCTAAGAATCTGGGAGAAAAGGGTTAAGTTACATACCCTCTTATTCAGTCCAAGTCCTTTGCTTCTGTGTCCTCTGTTTCAAGTAGAAAACTTTAGCTTCTGTATTTGAGCATTACTTTGTTTTTTTCCTTGACTTGAAATGCAGTACAGTCTGGCCTCATGGCAACAGGGAACCAGCAGCAACCAGGGATTCATGTATGTCTTCTCCCTCTCCCCTGTCACAACTACATGGGCTCTTATTTCTGCTTTTTCTCTCCTATTCCGTCATTGAGGAGCCCTGGTGGTGTAGTGGTTGGGTTGGGCTGTGATCCTCATGGTCCACAGTTCGAAACCACCAGCCGCACCTTAGGGGAGAAAGACTAGGCTTTCTACTCCCATCAACAGTTATGGTCTCAGAAACCCAGAGGGGGTTGCCATTAGTCAGAAATGACTCGATGGCAGGAAGTTTGGTTTTAATTCCTTCCCTGAAGGTTTTCTTCCTTTGCTTACAATTAAATTTGCACATGACTCAAAACCTCAGCATCAGTTCTTCGTCTAGTGACTTTTATGGTTCCCCCTGACACTCATACCTGTTCTTCCCCACTCCCCCATTCCAGCCCTACCACAAGTCTATCAATCCCAATTCTAAAATTCTACCCAAATCACCCTTTTAAATCAGGCCTGGCATATAGTGTTTTTTTTTCTGGCCAGATATCCATCTGTGTTTTAATCAGCTGATGGATAGGAGAGCTGCCATTTTCCTCAGAGTGGAGCTTCTGGACAGGCAGTGAATAACAGAATTTGGAACTTTGGGTGTAAGAAAGATCTCTGGAGAATTTATTTTGGTCAAACATTTCTTTATTTGGGCTCTTTTATAAAAAAATCAAAACAAAATATGTTATTGATTGCTTTCTTTAACATTATCATCCTCATATGCCTGAAAACAATACCCCCAATCCTTAGCATAATATCTAACAGGCCTAATTAGAGTGTTTAGGCTCTTAAAGCAAATGCCTTGTGAAAAGGTTACCTAATTGTGGCAAGGTGTGTTAAGTTGTCCCTCACCGGCATTGCTGGAACAATCTACACCCAGCCTGATTCCCCTGTGTTCCCTCTAGTTTCAGCATAATCTGTTCCCCAACACATGACAGGCAATTTGGTCAAAATGTGCACAGCCATGTCAGTGTTTTGTTCAGATTCCTCTAATAGTTTACCATCCTACATGGAATAATCCACAGTCCCTACCATGACCTTCAGAACCTCAGTTTCCCTTCCAACCTCAGTTCTCAATCTCCCCCTTGTTCACTGTACCCTCTCCAGTCATGCAAGTCTTACTAAGTCTCAAAATCACCAAACACACTTCAATCTCTGGACACTGTTTCTGCACCCCCCCCCCTTAGAAGGGCCCCATCACAGATGTTCAAAGTTTCCTCCCTCACTGTACTTGAATCTCAGATGTTACCTCCTCAAAGAACTTCCCATAACAGTATCTAAAATAATTCCCAATCCTATTATACTTTAACCCCAAAATAACTACATTCTTTACAGCAGTTATCACTGCCTGTTACTATATTTTGCATTTATTTCTTTTACTGATTACATTCACCAGTAGCTAAACCTCCATGGTGCTAATTGTTCCATGAGTGTCTACAGACTGAATCCTCAATAGCACCTAACAGATGCAGTGTATCACATGGGCTCACTGGCACTGCTTCCCTAACAGAACTCAAACTCACTGCCATCAAGTCAATTCTGACTCACAGTGACCCTACAGGCCCAGGTAAAACTGCCCCTGTGGGTTTCTGAGTCTATATGGGAGTAGAAAACTTTATTTTTTTTCCAATTGCTGATCTTGAGGTTAGCAGCCCAAAGCATGACCAACAATTTCCTTGATAAGGCTCTGGTCACATTCTTGGATTTTTCTCATCAATGACAGAGTAAACAATCATCTTTCCTTCCTGCACTCCATGAAAACAGGTAATCAAAGGAAACTAAATATTTGCAGCTTCATTCCCCTATACATGGTCTCATCCTTGCCTGCCCTTAGAAAACACTATCAACTAAAATAAATTCCACCTTCTCTAAATATCACGTGCTATAAATGATAGAGACCTCTTACATCCTAGCTCTTTCCTCTCTCTGAGGAACTAAGTCAATTCTTATCTCCTGATCATTTTTCAACCATCCTTTTTGTATTGCTCCTGAAGCCTCCTGACTGGTCAAGTCTGACATCACTGCCCTCCCAACTCAAGCAAAACCAAACTCACCACCGCGAGTCGATTCTAACTCACAGGGACCCTATGCGATGGAGTAGAACTGCCACGTGGGTTTCCAAGAGAGTAAATCTTTAGAAAACAGAAAGCCTCAACTTTCTCCAGTGTTGCTGCTGGTGGGTTTAAACTGCCGAGCTTGTTAGCAGCCCAAATAGTAACCCATGATGCTACCAGGGCTTCTTGCTGTCCTCCTAGGCTCCCACAAACGCGTCTTATTACTGTCATTTATCGACCAAACGGCAATGGCCTAACTGCCACGCTAAACTAACGTATTTCATGCTTCCTGAGAGCCAAGGAAGCACTCCGTTAGCATTTTCACATCCTTTTAGGTGCAGAGGTATCATGAGCAGCGCGATCAATAATTACTTAACGCTCTTAGACATTTTCAAATGCTCGGTTTATTCACTGCAAACACACATCAAACAATCTAAAATATTACTCAAACTACTAAGGGCAAACAACTATAAGCATAAGGGCAGAGTAACAACTATGAGCATAAAGGCAGAATAACAACACTCCTCACACATTTCATATTAGCACCATAGTCCCAATCAGCATTGCCTCATCGGTGTACTCACCTTGGGTAGAGTTGGAGAGAGCAGGAGTTGATGTCTCCTTGGTTCCTAGCTCTCTAAAAGTCAGTGTCTCTACCTGGGTTTAAATGGACATTTTGGCCAGTTCTTTGACGTTCTCACTGTCCCAGTCAAGTCTTATCAGGTTTCTCCACGCTTTAGGTGGTTTGGCTAGTTTTTGGGCTTCGGCCAGGTCTTAGCCCGGTCTTATTGGGTCTTTCCATGCTTTAAGTGACTTGGCTAGCTTTGGGGTGTCGGTCAGGTCTCAGCTCAGTCTTATCAGGGGTCTCACATTTTTGTGGTGGCTTCATTGATGTAAGTGTTGGCCTGGACCCCAATATTACATTTTATTTTTTCTTTAAAGTGGAGTTTCTTGTGCTTGTTTATTTGATGTGGCTCAAGGTCTTGCAAGGTAGTTCAAGGTCTTGTAAGGTAGTTCAGCGTCTTGCAAGGAAGTTTTATGGTGCTCTCATCATATGGTACAGTTCTCCTTCAGAAATGCCCGCACCTGGCCTTTCTCCATTTATGTCTTTGAAATTAATATTTTTTCATCTGTCTCCACTCTCTTCGGGGACCTTCTTGTTGGATTAGGCGCAGCTTTCAGCAACTAGCCTCTTCCGTCTCATTCCCAACTTTTCAAAGCTCTCTATCTTCTTGGATGTTCCTTCAAAACAGAGACCGAATCAGAGTACTGGCAGACCAGCAGCACAGGCGCTACACTGAGGAGGAAAGGGTCCCGAAACGTGACGTCCCACCGAGACTTCTGGGAAATGTAGTTTCCACTCGAAAAAGGCGCGGGCGCGTTGCGCACATGCGCACAACTTCACTTTCTTCCGCCGACGTTCCCCAATCCAAAGTGGAGTCTCAGAGGCTGAAGAGCCGGAGCCACTAGACTTGCGGAATCGGCGCAGCAGTTCCCAGGGCAACGCGCAAGCGCACTTTTTAGCTCGGGCTTGAGGCTCCTTATTGTGTCCTGACTGTGATGTGGCGTTTGCGATCTCACGCCGCAGGCAGAGGCTCCTCGCAGGGCATCCCAGTGGTGACCGGGGACAATGGCCGCTTAGGAAGAGAGGCCGCGGGGTGCCTAGTCCAGGGAGAAGGGCGGAGAGAAATCCGGGTGGGTCCGCGTCGTGGTCAGTTCAGGAGGACCTGGTCTCATGCCCCACGCTTCCCGGAATGCTCCTCTAAAATTTAATTTCAAAGAGATCCCTGGAAGACTGCCAGCTGTGAGCATCTTGAGTGTGTACGTGTCTGTGTGTCTGTCTCGGTCTTAGAAGAACTGCAGAAAGCCGTTTTTTGTTGTGGTGATAATAACTGCCCGTTGAGATCGGATCCTTCTGTGATGATCTCGCGCAGGAACAACCAATGGCTCGGCTCCCCCGGCCGAGCAGAGGACAAACTGGGTGGCTTATGTAACTGAGATTCCTAGCCCCCTCCCCTCCATACACACATACGGGACCGAGTCAGCTTGGGAAGCGAGGAGACTGAGACCAGAGAAAGTGCTTGGCCTGAGAGACTCTGGCAATGAATTCCTAGATGCAATCTTCTCAGCCTCCTTTTTGAGAAGAAAGAAAACTTCCTCTCTCACTTCCTCTGCTGCCCTGCCCACGCAGGAGGTATGGAGGATTTAACTTAGATGCTGCCGGAAAGACGTGTGGTCAAAAAGCAGCGTGGTGAGTGCTTCACTAGACGAATGGAAGCAATGGGAATAAAGAATTCGCTGCTTTGGGGTGTCAGGACTCCCAGAATGTGAACGCGCACCCGCCTCCCACTGGATTGCTGTGACCCCCACCTCTTCTCCTCATCACAGGTGTGTAAGACTTTCTACCCGAGGAGTCTAGCAGTTGCAAAGCTGCAGACCTTTGCTCTTGCCTGACAGGACGCATGGCAGAAGGAGGAATGGATGTCAGGCATCTGCCAGTTGTGGTCCAGGTAAGTGTGCTTTCCACCCTAAATTACTTTCTAGATTTTAAGAATGTGGGCAGGAGCTTTTCTCTCCTTCCAGTCTCAGAGACCTGACCCCTCCCAACATTAGGCTCGTCCTAGTGAATGATGGAGCTAAGTGCTGTTGGGTGGCAAAGTGGCAGGTGGGACTAGAACACAGGTGGGAGTGATATGAGAACCGGCCCTCTTTCTACTAGCCAATAAGATTAGAGGTCTGTAGTGTTAAAGGCAATCACTTGAGAGAATTGAGACATGAGAGAAATGGAAATTCTTGCTTGGCAAGTGAGATTTACTGAACTTTTTAAAAGGTAGCATTTTCTCTTTAAAGTTTTATTAGGTACCAATGAAATTATTCAAGTGCAATGGCTTCCAAGTTCAAAAAATTCCTAAGCAGCTTTGAGCAGTGCTAGCCTCTTTAGAATAAGGGTATGGAGTTGACTTTGAGATGGACAGCATTCATTTAAATGTATAAATTATGTTGTGTATGCTGCTTTACATTTAAACCTTTCCAAAACAGTGCTGTGACAGGAATCATTGGAAGGGATGAGCAGTGGGTTGAAAGTGCCATATTTACCCCAGTCACAGCCCAGCCGCTGCTCACATGGCCCTGTCTTTTCATGTCTGACTCATGTGGGGGGCTTAACTTTAGCATCACTGTTTCTGTAAAACTTCTCTCTACAGTGAAATCTGTGACCTAACCTTGTCCTCACATGTATTGTCTGTCTCACAATTTATTTTATGTTTATAAGCTGCCTTCATGGTGTTATCCAATAGACATATACTCGTAAGGATTTTAAATGTGCCAGGTTTTATGATATATGCCAAATATACAAAGCTGAGCAATAGCCCCTGACAAATTGCTTCTTGAGTTGTTTTAACAAGTGTTTCTTGATTGCCTGCTTTGAGCAAGGCTTTGGATGTAGGTCCAACAGAAACCTAATTCAAGCTACCTTAAGCAAAAACAGGCATGTGTTGATTAGTCTCCTCCAAAATCCAGAAGAAAGGATGTCACTGGACTTGAACTATAGAAATGAGGTCTGAAATAGAACCTAGAAAACCCTAAAAGGATTTTTCTCTTGGACCCTGGACTCTCTTCTCTGTGCTTTTGCTTGATTCTCTCTCAGTGCATACTAGCTCTCTTTGCTTCCCAACCAACCAGAAGGACCGTAGCTTTAATAGGTACTGAGTTTTACATGGCAGATTCGAAGTATCCTGAGAGAGACTAGTTTTACTCTGTCCCCATTTTAGACTTTCCAAGGAAAGTCCCAGTTGTGATCAGAGGGTGAGCCAGATCACATTCTGCAGAATGAGTATTCCCATGGGAACTGTGAACGTGTGCTGGGAGTGAGCGGGAGTTGCTGAACAGCAATAATATATATTTAGTACATGAGTCTTTTCTAAATGCTGGGAAGACAAGGTGAATATAGAAATGATCCATTCTTTCCTTGAATTAACAGTCCTGACCAAAAGTAAAATAAAACTGACAATAGGAGCCATCAGGGAAGTTATTGCTGAGGAAGGGATGTCTAAACTGAGACCTGAAGCAGACTTTGGTCTTATGGAGGAAGGCAATGAGTAGGGGTGGGCAGGTTGAAAAAGATGGGCAAAATAAACAGTAGGTGTGAAGTCTGATGCTGAGGAAGCATCTCTTTTCAATAATATATATATATCTACAATGTGGGGGAGGAATGTCTAATGCAATGTGAGGCCCCTAGGAGACCCTTAAGAAATGCTTGTCGCAGAACACCAGCTCCTTGTACATTAACAATCCTGTGAATCTCAACAAACTGCAGTATCAGCTTTTCCCTGAGCTCTATGTGAAGGGGTAGCCCCAGTCAACAAGTCTGAGTTTACTGTTACAGGAATCAGTGACATTCAAAGATGTGGCCGTGCTCTTCAGCCAGGATGAGTGGGGACACCTGAATCCTGCCCAGAGGGCCCTGTATAAAGATGTGATGCTAGAGAACTACAGCAACGTGGCATCACTGGGTAAGATGAGGAGCCTCTGAAGACGTAGCTACAGATCGAGGGCCCTCTGGAACCCTTTGTTGCAGAGTGGCACAATGAATAAATTACAGTCTGCCAATCAAAAGGTTGGAGGTTTGAGTCTACCCAGTAGAGGCACCAGGCCTGATGACCTGTTTCCGAAAAATTATCCATTGAAAACCTTGTGAAGCACATTACTACTTTAATCCACAGGAGTCTCTGTGACTCAGAATTGATTTAATGGCAACTGGTTTGGGTGGATCGGGCCCCTTAAACTGGTAACAACTAGAAGACTGACTTGGGATTTGGCCAGTTGAGAATGGTGTCTTCAAGTCTGCTACTTACCTATGCATTCTGGCAGAAAAGGTAGTGGAAAACAGACTATCAGGCCCAACCCGTGTATCCTCCTTCAGGGGACGTGATGAGTCCCGTTCTCTATTAACTTTTCTGGTAATTCCTATCAAGTAGTCCTTTCCAGGAAGTTCGAGAACCATGTCTCATTCTGACAGTAATTTTATCTCTGCTCTGAACAGATATGGATTATTTTGTTTCCCTCAAAAACAGGACTTTTAGAAACCAAGCCAGCTACGTTTTCCCAGATGAGAACAGGGGAAGACTGGATGCTGGAGGACCCCTCGGCACGCTCCTGTCTTGGTAAGATTCAGAGCTATGGAGGCATTAGGAAGAACTCAGCTGGTCATGGTTAGTGTGGCAGCTCAGCAATTGTGCCAGCCCAATGCATCAAAAACTGCATGCATGTCATGTCTTTCCCATGACTGTGCATCTCTGTACATAGTTACTGCGTCTGTCCCAGTATTCGTTTATCCAACTGGCACTTCTTTGTTCAATGTAGTTTACATCTCCTTTGACCTTTCCAAGTTTTTTCATTTCTGCTAGTGAGAAGGCGCCTGCTTTATGCTGGAATTATATACTTCTTTGTAGGTAGTTTTGTCCTTGTTGTTGTTGTTTTAAGAGTTCTTCCTCTGCTGTAATCTGCTTGTTTGTAAGTACCACAATGTAAACATACTTTTGCTTCAGAAATCACATAGGATTACAAACAGCAGAGTGGCTTCGAGTGTTAAGGCCCAGGTTTCATGTACCGATAGGTATCTATTCTTCCAGCTAAGTATGGCACTGTACGTCATGCTTTACCAAGCATGGTATCCTTATCCAGGGCCAAGGCCTTCCTGAGAGCATGTCCAAGTATGTTGCCATCTTCGCATCTAAGGAGTATTCTTGCTATACTTCTTCCAAGACAGTTCTGTTCTGCCAGTCCGTGGTACAAGTATATCCAATAGTAATTTCAGTAGAAGAATATTAAATAGTGAGATAGTTTATTGTGTCAGCGTAGCCGATAAACACAAGTAGGATTAACTGAAGGGCAGAGAGATAAATGGCTCTGTGAGCCTCACCTTTCTTGTCTCTCGCTCTGTGATCATCGGACCAGTGTGCGGCTGCCTTGCTTGTTCTGTGCCTCAATTTATGGGCTACACTACTTATGGGACGCCTAGCCTGTGGACTGTGTCGCTGTAAGTTGAGGTCCCTTTAAGACATCTCTGGAGCTGGGGACTGGCAGTTGGGACTGGCAGTTGGTTGACAGTTGGTGATCTGCCTTGCAGTTGGCTGCTGTGCTGAGATAGGCTAGCTCTCTCTATAAATAGAGGAAGATCTGACAGCAGACTAGACATAAAGGACTGCTAGTCTCTTACAACTCTCTGTCTCTCACTGGAGTGAGTTGCACTGAGCCATTTGTACTGCTTTATAATTTAACAGTTCATTTCTTGTGTTATATATCTTATTATCTTTATAAATAAATATATAAAATTATCAGCAATTTGGTTTTATCTCTAGAGAGCCCTGTGTAACGCAAATAGTCTTCACTAACATTGTAATTCAAATGCACTGTTCTTCTCCTGTAGTCTCTGTTTAGGTACCTATTTTAATCATAGTAAGAAAATTCATTCTGATTGTTAGCTTTTCTTTTTAATACTTCTCTTATCTGGACCATAAGATCAAGTAGAGGGAGGAGAGAGTTAACATTTGAGCTCATTAGGGTCAGCAAGCAGTCGGTGATTTCTGAACCATTTATACCTGTTGTTTGATGCTGTTGAATTGGCTCTAACTCGCAGTGATGCTGTGTACAGCAGAATAAAGCACTGCTTGCTCTTGCACCATCCTCATAATTGTCATATTTGAGTTCATTCTTGCACCCACTGTGCCAACCCATCTCATTGAGGGTCTTCCCCTTTTGCTAACATTCTATAAGCACAATGTCCTTTTATGTAAATTAAATCATTTTATTGGGGGCTCGTACAATTCTTATCACAATCCATACATACATCCATTGTGTCAAGCACATTTGTACATTTGTTGCCATCATCATCATTCTCAAAACATTTGCCTTCTACTTGAGCCCTTAATATTGGCTGCTCATTTTTCCCCCTCCCTCTCCACTCCCCCTCCCTCATGAACCCTTCATAATTCAAAAATTATTATTATTTTGTCATATGTTACACTGTCTGACGTCTCCCCTCCCCCCTTCTCTGCTGTCCATCCCCCAGGGAGGAGGCCATATGTAGATTCTTGTCATTGGTTTCCCTTTCTACCCCCCATGTGGGGCACAATGTCCTTTTCCGGGACAAGTTTCTCTTGATAACCTATATAAAGTTTGAGACACATTCGCACCATCCTGGCTTCTAAGGAACATTCTAGGTGTATTTGTTCTAAGATTCATTTTTTCTTCTATAGTCCACGGTACTTTAAATATTCTTCACCAGCACCGTAATTGAAATGCATCAGTTCTTCTTCAGTCTTCTTTATTCATTGTCCAATTGTCGTATGTATATGAAGCGATTGAAAATACCGTGACTACAATATCTGATCCTTGCAACCTGTGAAGCAAGTATGATTAATCACATTTTACAGAATACTGGAACTCAGAGTGTATAACATCTTAGTTACTGAGTGCTGTTATGAAAGAAATAAGGAGCCCTGGTAGTGTGATGGATTATACATTGGACTACTAACCAAAAGGTCAGCAGTTAGAATCCACTAGGCATGCCTCACAGGAAAGACAGGGCTATCTGTTTCCTTAAAGATTCACAGCCTCGGAAACGTGAAGGGGCAATTCCACTGTGTCCCATAGAGTCATTGTGAATCAGAATTGGCTTGATAGCACTAAGTTTGGTTTGGTTTGGATGGCAGACATAAGTTAGGAGAACAGAAGTCCAAATTCAGGGAGCTAGCTTTAGGAGGAGGCTTTCTCTTTCAGTTTACCCACATCCACAAAATTCCTGTTGGAATTTTGATAAGAAGCAGACTAAACGTGTAGGTTAATTAGGGACAATTAGAAGTACTCCACTAATCGGTACTTTATTTAATTAACATGGTATGCTACCATATATACTTGAGTATAAGCTGACCTGGATATCAGCCAGGGAACCTAATTTGACCACAAAAACTAAATTAAAAATGTGCTGGAAAACTTGGCTTATATACTAGTATATACGGTATAGCCCTACATTTATTTAGATTTTTCTTAATTTCCATTTCTCTTTTTTGTTGTTGCAGTGTAGAATTCTTAAATATCTTTCATTATGCTTATTGTAAGTATTTTATTTTTGATACAATTATAAACATCTATTGAAAATTATTTTCTAATTGTTCTCAGTATATAGCTATACTGTTTATTTTTATGGGAGCCCTGGTGTCACAGTTGGTCAAGCATTGCATTGGTGGTACAAGTCCACCAACTGTTCCGCTGGTGAAAATGAGGCAATCTGCTACCATAAGACTTACAATCTCAGAAACCTTATGGGGCAATTCTACTCTATCCTGTAATGTTACTGTAAGTCAGTATTGACGACAGCAGTGGCTTTTTAAAAAAAATTTGATCATATGTACAGATCTTATTTCCATCAACTTTTATAAATTACCTTGTTGTCTCTAAAATCTATTGCAATTTTTCTTTCTTTTCCTTGTCCTGGTTAAGATATCTGGTACAATATTGAAGAGAAATGGTGATCACAGAAATACTTCATCTCGGTCATAGAGGAAGATTTTCAGTATTACACCAGTAAATTTAAAATGTAGTATAGATTATTTTGGAAGTAGTTGTTAACAGATTAAGAAGTTCTCCTTGCTTGTTATGAGTTTTTATGATGACTAGGTATTGAATGGCATAAATGAGTGGCATATATGGATTATGCTTGCCTACCAACTAATAATATGGCTGTCTGAACCCACTCAGCAGCACCATAGAATAAAGGTCTGAGGCTCTGCATCTGTAAAAACTATAGTCAAGAGACCCTTGCACAGCAGCTCTGTCCTAACACGCACATGGTCACCATGAGTCAGAACCTGCTGGACTGCAACAGGTTTTTAGGTGTAGAATTGTATCAGATGTCTTTTCCCACAGCTATTGAAATAGCAGATTTTCTTCTTGTTTTAATGTGGTAAATAACACTGGGTGGTTTCAATGTAATGACGGCCTTGACTTCAACTTGGTTGTGATATATTGTCATTTTTCATATCCTTATAGACCTCTTCCTAATTTTGTGTTTAGGAATTTGCATCTGTGTTTATGAAAGAGAATGGGCTTCAATTTTACAGTTTTTTTTAATGTCCTCATGAGGTTCTGGTATATTGAATTAGCCTCAAAAACAAATTTGAAAATGTCCCTTATTTGTCACTTTGAATCAGTTTGTGTAAGATTTGCTATTACAGTTGGCCCTTGAACAACTTGGGTTTGAACTGCAAGCTCCCAATTATGCACAAATTGTTTTTCCTATTGGTAGTGCATTGAGCTCAAATGTTGAGTAGATCTACTTAAAACACTATATGGTATTAATAATCTCCACAAGAACAGTCCATCTTTTCAGGGAAAAGTATTTTTATATAGGTGAGCCTACTAGGAGCCCTGGAGACGTAGCAGTTGTGCAGTGGACGACTAACCTCAAGTTTGAAACCACCAGCCGCTCCATGGGGACATGAGTAGGCTTCTATTCCCACAAAGAGTTAAAGTCTCAGAAACCCACAGGGGAAGTTATACCCTATCCTGTTTGGTCACTAAGAATCAGAATCAACTTGATGGCAGTGAGAGAGAGAAGTGGGCTTGCACAACTCAAACTGTGTTGTTCAAGGGTCAACTGTATTTCTTAGTCAAATGTTCAGAAGAATTCATTAGTGAAGCCATGTTGCTCTAAAAATTTCTTTATGAGAAGATTTTAAATTAAAAATTCTATTTCTGTATTAAATATGAAACTATTCAGAATTTGGTATTTTTCTTGTTTTATTACATTGCACCTTTAAGGGAACTTGAGTCACTTAAAATGTTAAATTTATACCCATAATGTTTCTTTCTCTGTATTCTTGTCTTATATCACTCTGTAGACGCTGTTCCAATAATACCTTTATTATTCTTGATATTGGTAATTCATGACCTCTCTTTCTTTGGTTTTTCTTGGTAGAGGCCTACTAGTTTTCATTAATTTCTGGGGTTTTGGTGGGTTTTTTTCTTTGTCTTTTGGAATTTGGTTGTTCTCTTTATAAGTTCTTGAGATTGATACTTTGATCATTAATTTTGAACATATAAGGAATGTGTATATGTACACATTTCCTTCTAAACATGTGTATAACTATTATAAAAATTCCAATTCATCATTCATTTTCTCATTTTTGTTGTGGTTTTATCCTTTTTTGTATATATTGTATGTTTTAAAAGCATTTGTTGACTTTCTAATTATCTTTATTTTGGTATTCATCTCTAGCTTAATGCTACTGAGTTTAAAGAACGTATTCCATACTCTGAGGTATTTTAGACATATGAATTTTGCATACTTTTTTGCATCCCATAATAGAGCCAGCATTGGAAAATGTTTTAAGTGTACTTGGAAATATGTATTCTATCATTGTTAGTTTTAGTGGTTTAAGTATATAAAGGGTCTTTATCTATTTTGTATTTTTTTGTCCTCATTCAATTTTCTGTTCACATGTTACCTTTTGATTGGATACTTGACATTATGCAAGAAGGAGTTGAGAGGCTCTGAATGATGTTATATTTTTGCAGACAAAAATTACCCTTTCATCTCATAGTCAGCTAGTCAATAAGCAAGCAAATTTAATTGAACTACAGTCTGTGTTAGCTGGAATTGGGATGTAGTTTTTGCCCACATTTCTAGCTTTTAGACTTTTAGGAGTCCCAACTGAGAGGATTCCGTGTTTATTATAATCTGCCCTTGGAAGGTCTTGAACTCCCAATGTTCATACTAGAATACTGTAAGATTATAACATATTCTGGTTTCCTTTTAGCATTAATGTCTTGCCCTTGAAAGCTTAACAATTCAGGTAACTCTTTGAGGTGAAGACACTAAATGTGAGAATCACTTTTTTTTTTTCTTTTTTAGACCTTAGTATATCAATTTTATCTCTCTAAATGACATTGGATGCCTTCTGACAGTTTGGGGATTTTATGTGTTTTTTTGTTTTTAATTTAGATATTCCAGTTTTCTGCAAGTATTGGTCTGCCACACCTAACGTTTCTTGAGTGAAGTGAAAGTCAATCTATAAAATTATGATAATAAACTCATTGCTATGGCATCTACACCAACTCATAGCAACCCTTCATGAGATTTCCAAGATTTCAAATCTTTATGAGAACAGACAAGTCTCATCATTCTCCCCCCGAACAGCAAGTGGTTTTGAGCCATTGGCATGGTTAGCAACCCAACACCTAATTCACAGCACCACTAAAAATTACTATGTGTAACTTTGACTATTTTTTCGTTTTTATTCTCGGCTCAATAAGATTTTAGCCCAGAAATGTACCTGTTTAACTTTATTTTCAAATAATTAAAAGGTGTTTTTATCTTTGGGGATTGTTTAATAGCCTTTTGTACAATATTTTCTAAAGGTACTGGAAAGGAAAAAGGACAAGGAGTTATGTTCTCGTTAGAACTTCATAGTAACTTTTGCATCATCTGTGCTAAATCTCTAGTGCTTACCATTATATGTTAATATGGAGTCTCACATAGAATTAACCTAAAGATGAATACTCACAAACCAGTCTGAAAAACTGAAGTGCAATCCAAAATTCTTTGTTATTATTAAGAGACTGATAAAACCAAGTGAGGTTCTTGAGTAAGGGGGAATTTGTGTTTGTGGAGAAGAATAATTTTGTCAAAGAATTCATGGAGCCCTGGCTCCTATCCCAGTAGCACAGTTTCATTTCTATTAACCAGTGTTTTCCTTTTCCATAGATTGAGGCTTCTTAATCCTAGACACATTGCATGTATCCTGGCAGATTTGCTGTTCTGTTTCCAAGTTTTCTATGCTCATTGTAGTTCCTTATTTTACATTTTTTAATTGCAGATGTCACATCTTTCAAATGGATTACGATATGGGTACAGCTTCTTCACAAACAGGAGGTGTCCTAATTAATTTCTAGATAGGAACTTTCACACAGTATTTGTAGTAGCTTACCTTTTTTATTGTCCATCTGAGTAATAATATGACCATTAAAAATATTAGCATTCACAGTTATTCTTAAGGTGAAATATTTTTCTACCAAGCATCAATCTCTAGTTTCAGTAACTTCTTAAGATTGCATCTGACTTATTTGTTTAAAATATCACATCATTAAAATAGAGCAGAATATATATTTTTTTCTTATCTGTTAACATAGTATGTGATATATGCCAGTTTTTATGCTTAGAAGTCAGACAACATGTCTATGATTAGCAAGAGAATAAATTTTGTACTAATCATTCCAATATAGACCTGTGACTTCATAGCTCAAGCTCCCAAGCTCTGCTGCTTCACACGTTATATAGTACATCAGCTCCTTCCTGCCTACCTTTCCTTCTTTATCTTCACTTTAATGCTGTAGAATGCTTGTCAACATTAAAAAATTTATCTCAACTCCACTGGATGTTTGACTAGGATAAAACAGACTTTTAAAATTTTTATTGTCTTTCAGACTGGACGACTATGCTTGTGAGTAAGAAATCCACCCTCACAGCAGATATTCCTGAGGAAGAATTGGATCAATGGAAGATAAAGGAAAAATTCACTAGGGAATGTCATTTAAAATGTGATAGACTAGTAGAAGAGAAGCACAGAGGTGAGGCAATAAATTTGCAGCAAATAGTAATTACTCACCAGAAAATACTATGTGAGGTTGGTGCCCAGGAACATAATGAATCTGGGAAGAACTGCACCGTGAGTTCATCTTTTATTCAAAGTCAGTCTAGCAAAAAAAACTTTGAGTGTACTGAGTGTGGCAAAGTCTTCTCTAATAATTCAACCCTTAGAAAACACTCAAAAATTCATACTGAAAAACCTAATACAAATCTGAAAACTCATATCAAAGAGAAACGATATGAATGTAGAGAATGTGGGAAAGCCTTTCACCAGAGTACACACCTTATTCATCACCAAAGAATTCACACTGGGGAGAAACCTTATGAATGTAAGGAATGTGGCAAAGCCTTTTCAGTGAGCTCCTCGCTTACTTATCATCAGAAAATTCATACTGGAGAGAAACCGTTTGAATGCAACTTATGTGGAAAAGCTTTTATCCGAAGTATACACCTTTCCCATCATTATAGAATACATACTGGAGAGAAACCTTTCAAATGTGATATATGTGAAAAAGCTTTTGTCTGCAGGGCACATCTTACCAAACATCAGAATATTCATAGTGGAGAGAAACCCTATAAGTGCCATGAATGTGGGAAAGCCTTCAATCAGAGTACAAGTTTTCTTCAGCATCAGAGAATTCATACTGGAGAGAAACCTTTTGAATGTAATGAGTGTGGAAAGGCTTTCAGGGTGAATTCTTCCCTTACTGAACATCAGAGGATTCATACTGGAGAGAAGCCTTACAAGTGTAGTGAGTGTGGGAAAGCTTTCAGGGATAATTCATCCTTTGCTCGACATCGGAAAATTCATACTGGAGAGAAGCCATACAGATGTGGTTTGTGTGAGAAAGCCTTCAGGGACCAATCAGCCCTTGCCCAACATCAAAGAATTCATACTGGGGAAAAACCTTATACATGTAATATTTGTGAGAAGGCCTTCAGTGACCATTCAGCTCTTGCTCAACATAAAAGAATTCATACTAGAGAAAAACCTTATAAGTGTAAAATCTGTGAGAAAGCCTTTATCCGCAGCACACACCTTACTCAACATCAAAGGATCCACACAGGAGAAAAGCCCTATAAATGTGATAAATGTGGGAAAGCCTTCAACCAGACAGCCAACCTCATTCAACATCAGAGACATCATATTGGAGAAAAATGATATGAATGCACTTTTAATGGAAAAGCTTTGAGACTGAGTATATAATTAAATGGCAGCTAAACTATTCTATAGAATAACTGAAAGCATAGTCACTGTAGCTTCACAAAATTATGAGATTTGAAAATGAGATGGCAAACACTCATTGTTTAGTATTGCCTCTATTGAATTAACAGCACTGTTTAATTAGTCTGAAATACTAAGTATCTAAGCCAAAATGGAGCCTCACTAATGACACAGAAATGGCTAAGAGAGTTGCCACCTTTAATGGAATCCTTAGTTCTCTCCACCCATAATCCAGGCACCCAAGTTTAAACAAAGTACCCATGCAGCAGCTCAGTAATTATTTAAATTATACTGCACACTTTCTATGTCAGTCTCTCTTTTATCAGATCACCACAGTCTATGTGTTTACTAGCTGCTTCTTGAGTTATTCTGAAACAATTTATCTCAATGGTTTTTCTTTTTATGTAGTGACTTGACTGTGAACATTATGTTCTTTATTGCCACCTCGTTTGCCCTTGAAGAATGGTTATCTGATTTAAGACATAGTCCATGATTCTGATTATAGCACCCAAACCCAGTTTTAACTCAGGACCCCTGTCTAGGGGCACAAATTTGTTCAAAATTCTTGATTTCCCCAGTTTCTTTGTGCTTCAGCTTGACTGATTATGGGTGATACCTACAAAAGGGGGCTTAGTCTATGGCTAGACAGTCCTCTTTGTCCACTACATTATGTTTTCTACTCATAATATTGAGCTTCTACACTCTGGTTCTTGCCCTTTTGTTTAGGTTTCTGAAGATATTAAACTCTGTGTTCATAGGAAAGCTGAGTGCTTTGAATTTCTTTTCTGCATTTGAAAGTGATCATTTCTTCCCCTCCATCTAGACAGTCCACTATTCAAAGACATTTTGACTTTGCTTAGCAACACAGATCAACAAGTGGTCAATAACAACCATTGACTTACTATAGCAGGGGCAGTGTCCATGCCCCAAAGTTTGAGAAAATATTCTAGCCCTTTAGTACAATTCTTAACCATCTTTAATCCTTATGTGCTTTCTTTGTCCCTTCACATATAACCTCAGGGGAGACTTCCCTTTCCACAGAACATGGGGAAGCCTGTACTACTGTAATATAGACCATAGCACCCAATGTAGATGTAAAAACAAGTAAACTCTGATTTGGGGAAGCAAAGTGGCATGTCCGTGGTCAAGAGAAGTTCTTCCCATCAAAGTGGGCAACCTGCTGTCTCTTATAAAGCTGACCTCAGTTCTAAGCAATAGAAGAGAATGCTTTATATAATGTTGAGACAGACCACTATTGAAACATAGTCTTGGACACATTCAGCAACTTCAATACCCAAATTATTTCCAAATTCAGCTTTCATCTATAAAGGCTACCTGTGTAAGCAAACAACTCTTGATATGTGATAGGCAAATTATCTCCTGTTAAACTGTGAAGCAGCATGCCAAGAGGTTAAATGGAGATCTCAGTGTCCTGGACTACATGTATTCATCTCAGCTTCACAGCCAGCAACCCCTTATTTCATAATAAACTTGGAAAGCCCATGCTCACGGAATTCAATATTATCTACATGCTTACCAGATACTATCATCACCCATGCCCTTCATCCCAGAAAAACATGTTCCCAAGCATAATGCTTTTATTTTTCTTGTTTTTAATAATTACTGCCACATAGGAGCCCTGGTGGTGTAGTGGCTACTCAGTGGGCTGCTAACTGCAAAGTCAACTGTTCAAAACCACTAGCTACTCCATGGGAGAAAGATGAAGGTTTCCCCATAGTTACAGTCTTGGAAACTCACAGGGTCAGTTCAACCCTGTCCTATAGGGTCACTGTATAAAGCTGCATCAACTCCATGACAAGTTTGGTTTTGGTTGTTTTTACTGGTACTTAGTATGTGCATGATGTTGAGATAGCTCCCTAGGGAAAAGCCTTCTTCCAGGTTAAGAGCCCCATTCCTTCTTCCAGCTTAAGAGCACCATTCCTTCCTGTGACAGACTCAGGAGCAGTGCCTCCACTAAAATCACTGAGGACTTCCACTTGAAAGTTCAACCTACTTTCCCAGAGCCCTTCTTCAGTCAGTCTTGAGTCTTTATGAAATTACACAACTAAGATGACTGTATGATTTCTGTTTGGAGAGGCAAAAAACCAAATAAGTGGCATATTAGGTATGCGTGGTACAACTTGAATATATTTAAGATAATACTGCTTGGGCAGGCAGTGGCTTTATTACATTCTACCACTGGTTAACAACTTATTGTATGAACTTAACTAAATGTTTGAGTGCCATTTTGTATTCTTTTCAAAAGTAATGTGACTAGGCAATCTGACCTGCCCACCATCAATCCCTCTGACCCAATCCCTTAAAGTGCATTTTTGAGAACGCTGAAATAGAATTCCTTAACTACAATCTCTTCTGCCAGTTGATCTGCCTGGTGTAAGATAACGTTTCAGCAATTCTTGGATTTTTTTCTACAGCACCATTGAACACATTAATCCCAAGATGACCAATGATTCTTAGATAAAGTAGTTCATTCCATACCTTGCTTTTCTAGTCTCACCACATAGGCACTTTCTGTGACAAGCTGTAGGTCACTACTTAGAACCCTTCAAAGGCACAAGGTTTGCAAAGGTTCCATTTTCAGCAGTCCCCTCTTCACATATCCAGCCCATCTTCCACCAATGGCTGTTATACATAGTGCACAAAGGCTCTGTGACCAGCACTCCTGTCACTGCCATCAAATGATGATGAATCTGCATGCAACAGAGGATGTGCTGGACTTACATGATGCCAGCCTCCCTACCAGCCTCAACCTGAATACAGAAAAAAATAAGCTAGAAAAGACAACCTAAGACTCCTGTCTCAGAGCTTTCCTAGCACTAGACCTGTCCAGTGGCCAGACTCATTGAATGTGCCAACTCCACTCTGTCTAGGGAAAGAGTATATTAGCATTTAGACTTTGTCTCGTTGTTCATGTCTGTGAACTCCTGTGAACAATCACTAAGACTCTTGCTCTGTAGTGAGAAAATTATTTCAGGTTTCACCTTTTCACTTCGCTCATTCTCTTTTCAAGTCATCCCCATTTCCACTTGATTGATTTGAGCTGAGTTCTCCCTGTCCACTTAAATTTGACAGTGATATCTCCCAAAGGTGTTGCTCTCTTTCATATACAATGATTGCTTTCCAGATGACCCTTGGCCCTCCAGCAGACTCAAGTTTCCAGGTGAAAGTACTGAAGACTGAACAAGATAGCCTTAAACTGTATTCAGGATTTGGGTTGTGAAAACAATTTGCTCTATATTTAAATCAGCTTCATTAATCTAAGAATATCATAGTCTCTAGCTATTTAATTCCTTTCTTCATTTCCTTTGTACTCCATGCTAACCTCCCATATACTACTAGAATAGCCATCAAGACTATGAAAAATAAAGTTGCCCCACCCAATTCTACTGGAACCTCCCAAGGTGCTCATCTCCCTTCAACACCAAATACATTTTTTATAATATCTCTACTCATGTTTTTCAGCCAGATTTTTTTTTATGACACTTGGGTTTTAATTGTAGTGACTTTTTCCCCCATCATTTTATTGGGGGCTCGTACAACTCATCACAATACACACATCCATTGTGTCAAGCACATTTGTACATTTGTTGCCATCATCATCCTCAAAACATTTGCTTTCTACTTGAGCCCTTGGTATCAGCTCATTTTCCCCTCCCTCCCTCACACACCCTTGATAACGTAATTATTATTTTTTCATGTCTTACACTGTCTGACATCTCCTTTCACCCACTTTTCTGTTGTCTGTCCGCTAGGGAGGAGGTGATATGTCGGTCATTGTGAT